TCTGGGAGAACCAGGTTTGATTCCCCACTCCTCCACTTGCACCTGGCTGGATGACCTTGGGCAAGCCATAACTCTAGCACAGCTGTTCTTGAAAAAGAGCAGTTTCTGTCAAGAGTTCTCTCAGCCCCACCTACCCCACAGGGTGTCTGTTGTGGGGAGGGGAAGGGAAAGGAGTTTGTAAACTGCTCTGAGACTCCTTTGGGTAGTGAAGGGCGGGGTATAAATCCAATCTCCTCCTCCTCCTCCTCTTCTTCTTCCCAAGGTAAAAAAATGGGAATTTATTATGTTAATATTAATTGCTGCTAAATGTGTTATTGCTTCACACTGGAAGTCTGCATCCATTCCATTGCTGCAAGAATGGTTCACACAATTGTGGGAACTATTTGTTCTGGACAAGATTAGAAATAATTTAGGTAAGTCTAGAGGTTCCTTGAATCAGCCCAGTCTTCTAGAGAAATGGTACCCCTTGTTACACAAATGTTGGTCAGGCACCTCAGATCGTTGTTATGTACTGGACAAGAATCAAATCTCTCTTCTCTGCTCACATTGAACGAATCGTAATTATTCCCTTTCATGCTGTATTGAAGGTTCTAATGCCAACTGATATCTGTTAAGACGAGTGCGATATTTGGATCTATATCTGTATTTATTTTTTGCTGTACTTCGTTGATTGCAATCCATTCTATTGTCAGTTGGTAATATTGCCATTAGGAGCTGCGGTGGCTCAAGTGGTTAAGACGCTGATCTGCCGGCTGTGGAAGGTCAGTAGTTCAGCAGTTCGAGACCCGGGTGCCGCAAGACGGAGTGAGCTCCCGTCTCTAGTTCCAGCTCCTGCCAACCTTGCAGTTTGAAAGCAAGAAATTGCAAGTAGATAAATAGGTACCACTTCGGTGGGAAGGTAACAGCATTCCGTGCGCCTTGGTGTTTAGTCATGCCGGCCACATGACCACGGAAACATCTTCGACAGCGCTGGCTCTTTGGCTTTGAAACGGAGATGAGCACCGTAACCCTAGAGTCGGATTCGACTGGCTTTTGAGCAAGGGAACCTTTACCTTTAATATTGCTATATTGTTCAATAAAAAATAAAGTTTAAAAAAAAGCAAGTCGCAAAAAAAATTGCTGTTCCCTCCCATCTGGTCTGTGACTGCTTTGCATGGCCAGGGGTCATTTCCTGCAGGAGTGCACAAGAGCGGAGCTCCGGCAGTAGAGTCCAGGGGGCGGGCACATGCAACAAGCCCCACCGCATGCTCCCAGCAGCCCTCAGTCAGAGCAAGAAGCAGCCAGGTAAGTTGCAGAGCTCCCCTTGTCCCCCCCCCCCGGCCCAAAAAAGCCCAGGGGCCCCTTTAAGCCCAACAAGCTCTCCCTCCTCTGCGAGGACAGATCAGATCTGCACGTTCCCCCCCCCAATAGCTAGCAATCCAAAACAGTCCAGTGGAGCCTGAGCGGTGGGTGTTGCCTTCTGACACACTTCCGGTGATGTCAGGGGGTGTGGCATATGCAAATAAGTTATGCTAATGAGTTATACTAATGAGCTCCTGCACCTCTTTTTCTACGAAATGACCCCTGGCCAGGGGAGTGGGGTAGGCTCCACCAGGAACCGGGGTCCGGGACCGGGTAGGAATTGCATAAGATCCTGCAGGGCCCTGTTATCATTTGGCAGAGGGTTCCACCAGGTTGGGGCCAGGGCCTTTTTGACCCTGGCCCCAGTTGAAAACATCCAGATATCCCTAGGGCTGGGAACCACCAGCAAGTTGTCCTCGGAAGAACGTAAGTTATTCTGGGGAGAGCGGAATTCTCTTTCTCCCAGGGGTATAACAGAGGAGGTGGGCTCATGTCGGGGAGAGACTGGTAGCGCAAAGGGAGCGCTGACATTATTTGCAGTTATTCCTAAGGGTGCAAACACAAATTATGTTCCCTTGAAGATTGGCAGGTACGATTCCCCAGAGCCAAATTTTAAAGGAAGAGGCGTTGGCTTCTTATCAGACAAGGCGGTCTCGACCCAAGTGCAGCCGTCCAGTCCGTGAGCACCGCAACAGCCGGCGTGGGCAGGGGCAACAATGCTCCATCCCGACCCTGTCCTGCCCTCTCCTCTCCTCTCCCCCCCCCCGAGTACTTACAGCAGCGTGTCAGAAAGTTTCTTTTTGGCCTTTTGCTCGGAGGATTTTCTGGATTTTGTCATGCTGGTGTTTGTTCTGGCACCAGGTTTCTCTTTCTTATCCTAGGTCTTCTCAGCAGCCGCCCGGGCCCGCTAAGTGCTCACCATCCCGGCAGTGTATTATACAAGTGCGCTAGTAGAGCCGCCCGCCTATTCCTATGTGTACGTCATTCTTACTGATTCCCTATGGATGCTGAGTTCAGCCAGAGAAGAGGCATCGCTGCAAGCCTGGCCAGGAGCATTGTGATGTCGTACGGATGTCACAGCCCGCGGTGTGATCTGTGTTCTTCCTTTCCGGAGCTTGTGTGTGTGTGTGTGTGGGGGGGGAGTGTTTTTATTCTCCCTGATTTCACAGACGAAGTAAAAATGCTGAACATATTTATGGTACAATTAGGGAATGTGAGAAGGGTGTTTTTGTTTTTGGTTCCCCCCTCCCAAAAGCCCTATAAACTGGAGCCCTCTCAAACCAGAAGAACGCAGGCATCCTGATCAATGGTTAGGGTTGCCAACCTCCAGGTGGTCGGCTGGAGATCCCCTGGAATGACAACTGATCTCCAGGCAGCAGACGTCAGTTCACCTGGAGAAAATGGCCGCTTTGGAAGGTGGACTCTATGGGAGTTTGGTCTAGTGGTTTTAAGAGCACGGACTCTAATCTGGGAGAACTGGGTCTGATTCCCCACTCCTCTGCATGCAGCTGCTGGTGTGACCTTGGGTTAGTCACAAGTTCTTTCAGAGCTGTTCTCTCAAGAGCAGTCCTCTGAGAGGAGAAGAAGAAGAAGAAGAAGAGAAGAGATTGGATTTATACCCCGCCCTTCACTTGGAGTCTCAGAGCGGCTTACAAACTCCTTTCCCTTCCCCTCCCCACAACAGACACCCTGTGAGGTGGGTGGGGCTGAGAGAGCTCTGACACAAACTGCTCTTTTTCAAGGACAGCTGTGCCAGAGCTTGTGACTGACCCAAGGTCACATCAGCAGGTGCAAGTGGAGGAGTGGGGGAATCGAACCCGGTTCTCCCAGATTAGAGTCCGCGCACTTAACCACTACACCAAACTGGCTCTCTCAGCCCCACCTACCACACAGGGTGTCTGTTGTGGGGGGAGGAAGAGAAAGGAGGTTGTAAGATGCTCTGAGACTCTGAGTGAAGGGCAGGGTATAAATCCAATCTCCTCCTCCTCCTGAGATCCCTCCCCTCCCCGCCTCTCGAGCCTCCATCCCCAAATATCCAGGGATTTCCCAACCTGGAGTTGGCAGCCCCGCCAGACACTCTTCACCTAATCTACATCACAGGGTTGTTGTGAGAATAACACGGAGGAGAGAATGCTGTAAGGTGCTTTGGATCCCTGTTGGGAAGAAAGTGGGGTACAAAGTAGATAGATAAATACTTCAAAACCCACAAGGTCCAGAAAGCTGTTATTCTCAAGGAATGCTGGTAACACACATTTATAGCTATTTTTTTTTCTAATTTGGAAGTGTCCAGACATTTCTTTATGCATGATAATATCATGAAAGTTTACTGGGGGAGGGGGGGGGAGGATCATGCCTTAACTGGATCCCATTCCGCTACTTAACTGCCTGAAGGAAATCACATGTTTTTCCTAGAGCCATCGGTCTTTCCCCCCCTAGAACAGGGGTGTCGAACTCATTTGTTATGAGGGCCGGATCTGACATAAATGAGACCTTGTTGGCTGGGCCGTGTGTGTCATGAAATGTAATGCCAGGTAGCGGAGATATAAACTTTATAAAGGACACAGACACAAAAGTTTTTTTTAAAAAAAACCTTAACATAAAAAACATGCTTAAAACGTTAGCACTCCTGCAATATTTTGCTTATTTAACAGTGTCTGATAACTGACACCTCTTGCTCTGAACTATTGCATCAAAATCTCTGTGCTGTTGCAATCCTGAGTATGCTGTTCAGGTGTGTATCTGTAAGCTGCAAACCTACGATGATGCAGCAGCAGCAGAACTGGAAGAAGAAGCAGAAGACAGCCCAGTTCCACTGCGGGCCTGATAGAAGCCCTCCGTGGGGGCCTGATCCGGCCCCCGGGCCACATGCTTGACACCCCTTCCCTAGAGGGTGTATATAATAAATGTATTTTTTTAAAAACCCAATAAATAAATACATTTCAGAAGCACAGGCTGAATATCTGATAGGATGGCCAAGGGAAGGGGACATTGGCAGAGGGTGTTGCTCGTCCCATTTCCAAACCCATTCATTTTCACCCCGTCCCCAACCGAGTGTGTAGCAGAGAGCTACACAAATAAAAACTGCATCTGTCTGAAGATGGCAACCCCACCCACCCCTCCTGAATCTTTCGTACAAATTCCTTTGGTCCACTGGTGGGAATGAGAGACGTAGCAGCATCCCCGATGTGTGTATGATGCTTGGGGGTACGTTTGCGGTGTCTGCTGAATACGTTGCTTCCAAGCCTTCCCTGCAATAAGCCTGTAGCTTTAAAGAAGGGAGGAGTCCGTTTCCATAGTAAGTCTATAACAACAGACTTGGGGTTTTGCTGCCTGCAGGCAGACGGCTTTGCCAGGATTCTGAGACTTCAGCTTGCAGTATAGCCGCAGCAGCTGCAAAATCAGGTACTGCGTCCCTCTGAAAACTGATTTCAGTAGGATTTACATCTAGGGTAGAGTTTGTAGGACTGCATCCCAATGATGATTGCTAAGTAAAAATTTCATTTACGGACTAACACTAATTGCAGCCTTCCTTCCTTCCTTCCTTCCTTCCTTCCTTCCTTCCTTCCTTCCTTCCTTCCTTCCTTCCTTCCTTCCTTCCTTCTCTCTCCATTTCTCTCTCTCTCTCTCTCCCCTCCCTCCCTGTCTCAAAAGTGCTTTGCATGAGTCACAGGCAGAGTTCTTCTCTCTTCCTCGGGGGACTGGCGAAAGGCAGCATGACGGAGCTGCACCAGGCGGCAGCGGCAGGCAATTGTGATTCCGTGGACCAGGTCCTCAGGAAAGGGCAGTGTGACCTGAACAGTAAAGACGCAGACTGGAATGACAGGACGCCCCTGCACTGGGCAGCGATCAGAGGTGGGCAGCACATGTACGGAGCCTAGGACTGCCAGCTCCAAGTTGGGAAATACCTGGGGATTTGGGCGGCGGAGCCTGGTGTGGGTGGGGTTTGGGGAGGGGAGGGACCTCAGCGAGCTTCAAATGCCATACAGTCCACCCTCCGAACCAGCCAGTTTCTCCAGGGGAACTGACCTTGGCAGGGCTCTTTTTGTAGAAAAAGCCCAGCAGGAACTCATTAGCATAATAGGCCATGCCCAACAGCAAAACTCATTAGCATATTAGGCCACACCCTGACAGCACCGCTCATTAGCATATTAGGCCACACCCTGACAGCACCGCTCATTAGCATATTAGGCCACACCCTGACAGCACCGCTCATTAGCATATTAGGCCACACCCTGACAGCACCGCTCATTAGCATATTAGGCCACACCCTGACAGCACCGCTCATTAGCATATTAGGCCACACACCCCTAATGTAGCCAATCCTAATGATTTTCTGCTGTTGGGTGTGGCCTGTTATGCTAATGAGTTCCTGCTGGGCGTGGCCAACCCGGGAGCCAGCCGGAACTCCGCTCCTGTGCGTTCCTGCTCAAAAATAGCCCTGCTCTTGGTCATCTGGAGATCAATTGTAATAGCGGGAGATCTCCAGGTGCCACCTGGAGGTTGGGATCCCTAGTGGAGGACAGGTTTTGGGGAGGGGGGGAACCTCAACAGGGTATAATGCCATAGCGTTAAACCCCCCCCCCCAAACAACCATTTCCTCCAGGGGAACTGATCTCTGTGGTCTGGAGAAGAGTTGTAATTCCGGGGGATCTCCAGGGTCCGCCTGGAGGATGGCAACCCTAACACAGAAGCTGCGGGACCAGTACTCTGCTCAAGCCCCCCCCAAGTACGGGGAGGGAAGCATCTGACACACTGGGCATGCTCAGTTGGCCCCTGGGCATCTGTGGCCCTGCAGAGGGACTGGCGCCCTCTCCTGGGACCAGGCCGCCGCTACAAGGGCTCAGCCTGGACCTGGCTGGCCACAGAGGAGAACTATGCAGGGACCAGTATACTGTTGTCGCAGTGGCAAGAATACTCTGAGCGGGCCTTTGCTGAGTTTCTTTGGCCAGTAGGCTAAAGCGGCAGGGCCTGGAGCCTGTGAACAGCGTGAGGGCAGGGAAACGGGGACAGGGGTGGTTCAGTTCTGCCCGGCATCCCGCTGACGAAATACCCCGACTCTTTGCCAGATAATTAAGATAGCACCAAAGTACGGTTATATATTCCCCACCTCTTTCCACGTGGAGAGCCGTCTCAGGGTAGTACCATGCAGAGGGATACCACGGGCTGCTGGCAAGACAAAGAAGTGGATTCAGGATAGGAGCCGGGCTATTTTTGGGCAGGAACGCACAGGAATGGAGTTCCGGCTGGCTCCCGAGTTGGCCACGCCCAGCAGGAACTCATTAGCATAATAGGCCACACCCAACAGCAGAAACTCATTCGGATTGGCTACTTTAGGGGTGTGTGGCCTAACATGCAAAGGAGTTCCTGCTATAAAAAAGGCTCTGGGTTTTGACAACAAACAAGGTAAACAGAATAAGAAGCAAAAGGTGACTGTGTCTGGATGACCACACTTCTGCGAACATGGGGTGTGTAGCTTAATATCCTAATGAGCTGTGCTGTCAGGGGTGTTTGGGTGTGGCCTATTATGCTAATGAGTTCCTGCTGGGCTTTTTCTACAAAAAAAAGCCCTGGATAGGAGTGTGCCGTCTCTGTAGAGACGCCTGCGGGGATTCCAGGAGATTCCTTGAGAGGGTGGGGTTTGGAGAGGAGCGGGGCTTCAGCACGGAATAATGCCATGAAGTCCACCCTGCAGAGCAGCCATTTGCCTCCCCCCCCAGGAGATTGGGGATCTCTGTAGTCCGGAGATCAGTTGTGATTTCAGGAGATCTCCAGGCCACACCTAGAAGTTGGCAACCCCAGGCTTTTAGATCCTCAAGCCTGAATTCTCCCTAGAAGCTGAAATGACTCCGCTGAGGCTATTGTACTTTGGTCGCATCATCAGAAGGCAAGACTCCCTGGAAAAGACAGTAGGAAAGAGCCATGGTCTAGTACCACCTTAAAGGGTGCATTCAGACGGGCAGCTAATCCCGCCATTATGCCAGCTTGCATTTTATCCCGATCTTTTAAATCCATCGTAGCACGACCAGACACCCCCCTGGTAAATCGCCTTACCGCACGCTGCCTCTGTTGTGGATTGTCTAGACGGTGTCCACTGAAGGAGGCATGCACGGTGGTTTTTTTTAAAAAAACCTTTTGCGCATGCGCATAGGCGTCACAGTGTGTCCTTGTTGAAGGAGGTGCACAGTGGTGTTTTTTTTTAAAAAAAATTTGTGCATGCGCATAGACGTGACAGCACGTCCTTGTTGATCCGCGCATGTGAAGAGATTTTTTTAAATGGTGCCCGCTCGGGATGGTCTGATGTCAGACCACCCCGATGGAAGGATTGCGCGCTGATGGAACGATCAGACGGATGAAAGTCCACAGTTGTCCCGCAGGTAACCGAAAACCCCAGATTTAAAGTGCTATCTTTTAAGTTTGGCTCCGAAACGCGGCAAAATGGGATGCCCACGGAAGAGGGACATTTCCCAGATGTTTGTGTCTGGACATTACCTTTAGATCCGTGAGGCAATCGTGCCTCGCGCGGATCTAAAGAGCCGTCTGATTGGACTCAAAGACTAACAAAATATGTGGCGGGGTGGGAGCTTTCGTGAGTCACGGTTCACTTCTTCGTATACAGCTAGAATGGGAGTCCATCCGTCCTAGTTATTGGGAAGTGGAGTGATTTCAGATGCCGAATGACATTAGCAGTCAAATGACAATAGCAGGTGAATAACAATGGCAGGTGTGACTGTGTGTCAGTGAGATATGCAGAAGGGTAAAAGGTGTGGAGAAATCAGCATTTGAAATGAGACAGGAAACCGAGGAAAAGACAATAATGCTAGGTGGAGTTGAAGGAAGAAGAAGAGGAGGAGGTTTTATACCTCACCCTTCACCACTCGAAGGAGTCTTGCAGCAGCCTGCAATCGCCTTCCCTTCCTTTGTCCACAACAGATACTCTGTGAGCACTGCTCCCTTGAAGCTGTGGAGTCTTGTGAGCAAAAAAAGTCTACTTTGTGTGCTACTGGCGTTAAAGTTGTGAGCGAGCGATTTGGCTGCTGCATAACTTAATTTGCTCTGGAGCCATCCTTTCTGAGCTAAGACAAACATGTGTGAGCCAGACTCACGCTAACTCAGCTTAGAGGGAACACCACCTGTGAGGTAGGTGGGGTTGAGAGCGCTGTGACTGACCCAAGGACAATCAGGGCTCTTTTTGTAGCAGGTACTCATTTGCATATTAAGCGACACACCCCTAATGTAGCCAATCCTCCAAGAGCTTACAGTAGCTCCTGTAAGAAGAGCTCTGTAAACTCTTGGAGGATTGGCTACATTAGGGGGTGTGGCCTAATATGCAAAGGAGTTCCTGCTACAAAAGGAGCCCATCACCCAGCTGGCTTTATGTGGAGGAGTGGGGAATCAAACCCAGTTAACATAAGAACATAAGAGACGCCAATGTTGGATCAGGCCAAAGGCCCATCCAGGCCAACACTCCGTATCACACAGTGGCCAGAAATACCAGTGCCATCAGGAGGTCCACCAGTGGGGCCAGGACATTAGAAGCCACCCCACTGCTGACCCCCCCCCCCCAAGCACCAAGAAGACAGAGCATCACTTGCCCCAGAGCCCCTATCTCTACCTTGGGGCTAATAGCCACTGATGGACCTCTGCTCCATATGCTTATCTAATTCCCTCTTGAAGCCGTTCATGCTTGTAGCCACCACCACCTTTTGTGGTGAATTCCATGTGTTAATCACTCTTTGGGTGAAGAAGTACTTCCTTTTATCCGTTCTCCAGATTAGAGTCCGCGCTCTCACTTTCTGAGCCAAGCCAGCACGAGATGGATTGACTCAATATGGGCCGCCACGGACGGCCTTCAGTTTGCAAGACCCGAGCAAGGCTGTCAATGGTAGGATGCTAATTCACGCATGTGGCCTGCGTCTTTATTTTTACGGGCCAACACTTCTCCCTCTCTCCTTCATCTCTTCCTTGCGTTTCTACCAGGATCATCGAGGATAGTGAAACGACTCGTGGAGCACGGGGCCCGTCCCTGCTTGAGAACAGACGCAGGGTGGACCCCTGCTCATTTTGCGGCTGAGTCGGGGAGGCTGGGGGTGCTGAGGACACTGCACTCTTTGCATGCTCCTGTGGACACCGCCGATCTGTACGGGGATACGCCAAAGCGGATGGCGGAGATCTACGGTCACAAAGATTGCATCAAGTTCTTAGAAACGTGAGTGCTGGGAACTGTATTCGGTGGGAGGTATTTCTGGAGAGCATCCTTTACTTCTGGGGAGGGAGGCTGGCAAAGGCTAGGGCCTGGCTTGGTAGGAGAGGCCTTCACGAACATGACAGGAAGGTGGAAACCGAAACGGGGTAACTTGAAGATTATTCTGCCTGCCTCTCGGCTCAGTATCAAAGAGGGGGAAATTCAAACCGAGGTAAAGGATCTGGCACTGAGACCTCCATTTTTTCCTCTTTTGCTGAGCAGTCATTAGGCCAGGCGTCCCCAACACGGTGCCTGCTGATACCTTTCCAAATGTTTTTAGAAAGTGAGCAGGGCCAAGGGGGGCCATTGCCTAGCAAAGTTTCTGATTTGATTGGCTGTGTAGATTTTTTAAAACGTTGCTTTGGCAGCAGCTGCCACCACAGCACAAGAATCGTCCCTGTGTGACTGAAGCTGTGGCAGCTATTTTGTGGCGGCCATTCTGTGGCTGCTCCCACCACGTTGCATCAGAATTCCAAAGGACCCTGCAGGCTCAAAAATGTGAGGGACCCCTGTGTTCAGTGTTCCCTCTAAGCTGAGTGAGTGTGAGCCAGCTCACATTTTTTTAGCCTCCGGCTCACACATTTTTGTCTCAGCTCAGGGAGGAGGGCTCCAGAGAGCAAATTAATTTAGGCAGCAGCCAAATCGCTCGCTCACAACTTTAAGGCCAGGAGCTCACAAAGTAGAACTTTTGCTCACAAGACTCCACAGCTTAGAGGGGGCATTGCCTGTGTTAGGCAGTTTTTGCTCACTATAAGGTTTTCCATTCTGTGATGGATGACTTTCGTTTCAAGTCAAATCAAAGGGAAGATATATGGTGTTTTCCCTCCTCTTTACGTTCATTCTATGTCCTGCCTTCCCTCCAAGGAGCAGTTAGGGTCTGCATCGATACTAACGATAAAGAGAAAGATCACAATGGGTAATTGTGGCCCCGGTCACACGGCAAAATTGCTGCGGGAGAGGCACGGAAGGTGGGCGGATTATCCGGCGTGATCACACCCCAACATCTGGGAAGTGGAGCGCACCCGTGGCTTACCGCCGACAAAGCATGTTAAAAAACTAGTACCTCCAAGGTACTAGTAAATGTTTGCCACGGGCTGGCTCCAGACGCCCGTGGTGTGATCGCGCAGGCGCACGGCATTCCCCTCTGGTTTCTCATTTACCCGCCGGCACTGAGGGAAGGACCCGTGGTGTGCCGCCGGCGCGTCTGATCGCGTAATCGCGAATCAAACTGTGCTGGGGCAATTAACCACGCCTCCCCCCGCGATATCCGGCCCGTGTGACCGGGGCCTGTGTTAGTTTGTCTGTAGCAGTAGAAAATAGCAAGCATCCAGGGGCACTTTAAAGATTAACAAAATTTGTGTTAGGGGATGAGCTTTCCTGAGTCCCTGCTCACTTCCTCAGAGACAGCTAGGATGTGCTAGATCACTATGGGGTGGCTGTGTTAGTCTCTATGGAGCAGGAGAAAAGACCGAGAGTCCAGGAGCACCTGAAAGACTAACAAAAAAGACAGCTAGACTGTCATAGATCAAGATGGGTAGCCACATCAGTCTGTCTGTAGAAGCAGAAAGGAGCAAGACCGATTTCACACAAGAGCTGCGCCGTGGTCGCGCCTCCCTTTGCCTCGCTTCTATTGGTCAATTTCCCACTCGAAGCCATGCGGCCGCGTTTTGACCCGTGGCTTCTTCCGGTTTCCCCAGCAGTTTCGTGATCCTCAAAAAACAGGATCACAAAACCACGGGGAAAATCAGGCGAAGCCGCGGGTCAAAACGCGGCCGCACGGCTTCGAGTGGGAAATTGACCAATAGAAGCGGGCAGCGGTCATTTCCTACAGGTGCGCACAGGAGCGGAGCTCCAGCAGTAAAGAACCCAGGGGCGGGCACATGCAACAAGCCCCACCCCCTGCTCCCAGCAGCCCTCAGTCAGAGCAAGAAACAGCCAGGTAAATTGCAGAGCCCCCCCAGCTTCCCGGCCCAAATCAGTCCAGTGGCACCTTTAAGACCAAGTTTTATTCAGGTATAAGCTCTCCCTCCTCTGCCGAGGACAGATCTGCACGTTCCCCCCCCCCCAATAGCTAGGAATCCAAAACAGTCTGCCTCAGCGGTGGGTGTTGCCTTCTGACACACTTCTGATGATGTCAGGGGGTGTGGCATATGCAAATAAATTATCCTAATGGGTTATGCTAATGAGCACCTGCACCTCTTTTTCTACGAAATGACCCCTGCTCCCATCCAAATACTAAGCAGGGCCGACCCTGCTTAGTTTCCGAGATCTGCTGAGATCGGGCTATCCTGGGCCATATAGGTCAGGGCTAATGCCAGATATCCATGAGAAGCATCGCCGCACTTCGCTGCCATGGTCCCTCTTTTTCGTTTCTTTCTCCCAGGGCTGAAGTAGAGTGCCGGGAGTATCGCCGGGAAGCAAAATCAAAGGGAATTCAATTGGATGAGACTGACGAAGAGTGGGAGCTGAAGAAGGACGAACTTTTGAAAAGTAAACCTCCCACTCCGAAGAAACCTGCAAAAATGCGCGTAAGAAAAGACGACCGTTCAATTCCGTAGAACGTCAACGTGCTGACCCCAGCGTACTAGACAAGCTCTGGAGTTGGGATCCCGGTAACAAAATGGCAGGAGTGGGTTGGCCCACTCACTTGCAGCAGGGATCCCCAACCTCTGGGATTTTGACGCAGCATGGCGGGCACATCCACTCAGGGGCTGCTACAAAATGGCTGCCGCAGGAGACTGGGCCATCCACAAAATGGCTGCCGCAGCTTACCTTCAGGCACACAGTGACGATGCTCGTGCTGTGGTGGCAGCTGCTGCCAAAGCAATGTTTTTAAACCTCTGTAGCCCATCGAATCTCCAATCAGAGTCTTGCTGAAAAGCCTCCCTTGCCCCCCTCCACTTTCTAAAAGCACTTGGGGGGTGGGACAGGACCCCAGACTTACTGGGAAGGTTCCTGGTGGGCCACTACCCTGAAAGCTGATCCACTACCCTGAAAGTTGATCGAGTCAGGCTCCGCAGGACTGACAGTGCGGCAAGTGGGCCTGTTGACCAGTGATGTGAGCTCAGAAACCAAAGCACCATTTTGGAGACAGAGGAAGATGTGGAGGTGGAGAAATCTTCACAGGTGAAGTGCAGAGAGGCAGGTGGAGAACCACAAGGTGAGACAGTGCAAAAAACAAGCTAACTCTGGGGCCAGATGCCCAAGAGCGGCCTCCTAGATCCAAGACTCGAGTGAAACATGGAAAATCTTTTCCATTAATTTGTGCAATTAACAGGGCTCTTTTTGTAGAAAAAGCCCAGCAGGAACTCATTAGCATAATAGGCCACACCCAACAGCAGGAACCATTAGCATATTGGGCCACACCCCTGACAGCACAGCTCATTAGCACATTAGGCCACACCCCCATGTCACCAGAAGTGTGGTCATCCAGCCACACCCACCTTTTGCTTGTTGTTCTGTTTACCTTGTTTGTTGTCAAAACCCAGGGCCTTTTTTTGTAGCAGGAACTCCTTTGCATGTTAGGCCACACACCTCTAACGTAGCCAGTCCTAATGAGTTCCTGATGTTGGGTGTGGCCTATTATGCTAATGAGTTCCTGCTGGGCATGGCCAACTTGGGAGCCAGCCGGAACTCCGTTCCTGTGCGTTCCTGCCCAAAAATAGCCCTGGCAATAAACAAGAACCAAGAGATGCCCAAAGGAGTCAGGACTCTGCATCTCTTCTGGACCTTATCAGCACCCTTCACGGCCACAAGGAAACCATTTGCCGATATTCTAGGGAAAGCCAGAGTTGCTGTGCATGTCATGTAAATTATAGCAGACGAGAAAGAATGATGTGTTCTTGGAGTCCAGCACCCATTGGCTCCTGCTCTTTCAGAGACCCTGGTTTTCATCCCGTAGGAAATGGCCTGTTGTAGCAAAGCTGCCAGCATCTGAATGAGAAATACAATCTCTGTTTATATTCCACATCAATTTTTTTTTATTGTTGTAGTGCTATCTAAAAGTATGTTGTTGGCCTTGACCTGGATAGTGGCTCAAAAATGATGGTCACAGTCACAGAACAGACCGAAAAAAGAAGAAACTGTGAGAATGTTCCTAGAGCAAAGTGCTTGTATAAGGCATTATACAAGCACTTTGCCCTAGGAACATTCTTTCAGAGAATCTCTTGCAACTATGTTATGATACATCAGTGAAAATTAATGAAATGGTTGATACGAACCTGTTGAAATAACAGACCAAGAGTCGCTGTATGTAAGGCTTTCATCCACATTCAGAAGAAGAATAGTATCGAAACGATAGAACATTCCGGAGATCATCGTCATTACACCATTTTCAACTGCCTTTGTGCATTTATATATGTAGATTTTTTTGTACACATTTTTGTATAAATTTTGTGGTCGTTATTTAAATATTCTCTAGCGCAGTTACCTCACAGTTTCTTCTTTTTTTGGCTTGACCTGGATAGGCCAGGCAAGCCTGATTTCATCAGATCTCGGAGCGAAGCAGGGTCGATTCTGGCAAGTATTGGATGGGAGACCTCCTTGGAATACCAGAGGCAGGAGGTGGGGACAGGTTTTATACAGCTACCTCTCTGAATATCCTCCAGGTCAGTCACCAGAGGTCACCATGACGTCCAGGTGCGTGCACACACACATACGCACACACGCATAAGAAATACCAAAAAATAAAAGAGTGTTGTTGTTTTCTAAAATGTTTTTCTAAATGTTTTCTAAAAATCTAAAAATCATGAAAATGTGATCTGTTTTGTGATTTCAGCACACTTTCCATTGGCATTCTATCCCAGGGACTAGAAGGGAGAACAATTTTATAATCGTATGAAGTTTTAAAATCTTGTCCAAGAATCTTGTGCTATGATATTTTGGGGGGTCATGGAAATGGCAAGTGAAATTAACGAAGGCTGAACACATGAAGCTGCCTTCTACCGAATCAGAACCTGGGTCCATCAAAGTCAGTATTGTCTACTCAGACTGGCCATTGGCTCTCCAAGATCTCAGGCAGAGGTCTTTCCCATCACCTCCTGCCTGGTCTGTTCAAGTGGAAGAAGAAGAAGAAGAGATTGGATTTATACCCCACCCTTCACTTGGAGTCTCAGAGCGGCTTACAAACTCCTTTCCCTTCCCCTCCCCACAACAGACACCCTGTGAGGTGGGTGGGGCTGAGAGAGCTCTGACACAAACTGCTCTTTTTCAAGGACAGCTGTGCCAGAGCTTGTGACTGACCCAAGGTCACATCAGCAGGTGCAAGTGGAGGAGTGGGGAATCAAACCCGGTTCTCCCAGATTAGAGTCTGCACACTTAACACTTAACCACTACACCAAACTGGCTCAAGTGGAAGAAGAAGAAGAAGAAGAAGAGATTGGATTAATACCCTGCTCTTCACTATCCGAAGGAGTCTCTTTTGAGAACTGCCCTTGAGAGAACAGCTCTGAAAGAACTTGTGACTGACCCAAGGTTACACCAGCAGCTGCATGTGGAGGAGTGAGGAATCAAACCCGGTTCTCCCAGATTAGAGCCCAGGACCTTCTGCATCCCAAGCAGATGCCCTACCACTGAGCCACGGACCCTCACCTAAATTTCACCCTGATTGTACGGATCTTAATGCCCTTTTGTCTGTCAGGCTCAGATACATTTTTCATTAAATTCTGAAACCATGTGGAATTCGGTGGTTATAAGTTTCTGCTGGTAGCACTTAACGCCGAACTTGGAAAACCGTGGTGGTTTTTGTCCGTAGTATCTGGAGTAGGTTTCACATTCTTCTGTGCCACACTAGGTTTATCCAAAGGTCAATGTTGACCTTGTAAGCTTGCCACCCTCCAGCTGGTGCCTGGAGATCTCCCTGAATTACAACTGATCTTCAGACTGCAGAGATCAGTCCTCCTGGAGAAAATGGCTGCTTTGGAAAGGGGACTCTATGGCATTATACCCTGCTGAGGTCTCTCTGGTCTCCAAGTCCTCTCCTCCCCAGGCTCCACACCATCCAGGAGTTTCCCAACACGTTCATAACTTCTGGGAGACTAGGCAAAGAAAGATGTGTAAAAACAAGAATACAGAAGTGACCTTTCTGTATCCTTCTGCCAGCACGGTGTAGTGGTTAAGAGCACAGAGTCTAATCTGGGAGAACGAGGTTTGATTCCCTACTCCTGCACATGCAGCCAGCTGGGTAACCTCGAGCCAGTCACAGTTCTCTCTAAAACTGTTCTCTCAAGAGCAGTTCTCTCAGATCTCTCTCAGCCCCACCTACCTCACAGGGTGTCTGTTGTGGGGAGAAGAAGGGAAAGGAGATTCTAAGCCGCTTTGAGACTCCTTAAGGCAGAGAAAAGTGAAATATTAAAAGCTGTCCTCTTCCTCCTCCTCCTGCCAAAGTTTATATCTTTTGTACTCTGGGGTAGGTACTTGTGGCAAAGTGCCAGATCCCTGAAGGGGGGCCATACCCCACAAGCAGGAAGCTCCATCAGAAACAATTTGTGCACTAACAGGATCTCACAGCTGCAGAGAGGAACTTGGCGACACTTGCGCGGTCCAGAATATTTTGCATGTTTACATATCATCGTACATATTTAAAGCATGGATTGCAAGCCAGGTATACAGAGCACGAGCTGTCACTTTATGCTCGCTCGCTAATCCTTTTGCACCGGCAGACATGATAAATAAAACAAGGGGGACAAAGTGTCAGATTAAGTTCATCGAGGTGCATCCGTACCACTGGCTGACCTCCAGCAGCATTTTTGGGGGGAAGCAGGGTTGAGCCTCGAGCAAATGTAAATGGATGTTCAAGAAAAATAATAATGTCAAAGGCTGATTGTTCAGAGGGCATTTGACACCATTTAGAGAACTTTGTTGAACACTTTAAAAGTGACATCATTTCAGACCTGAAAAAGCTTACCTTTAGCCCTGACGGGGATAGCCCAGGCAAGCCCAATCTTGTCAGATCTCGGAAACTAAGCAGGGCCGACCCTAGCAAGTACTTGGAAGGGAGACCTCCAAGGAATACCAGGGCTGGGAGGCAGGCTATCAAACCACTTCTCTGAACATCCTCCATGCCCCAGTAGGAATCACCAGAGGTGCTTCCAGGCACGGGTGCGTGCACACGCACATACATACAAAAATAACCCCCCGCCCAAGCTTATCTCTGAATTCCTGGATCACTAGAATCCATACCATGGTCACTTTACAGTTTGATGGAAGTACAAAATGGCATCCATCTATCTATCTATCTATCTATCTATCTATCTATCTATCTATCTATCTATCTATCTATCATCTGTCTGTCTGTCTGTCTGTCTGTCTGTCTGTCTAGATACTGTTGTCTTGATATATTGAAAGAGAGAACACCAGTGTGTTTCGAAATCCTGTCAGAAGGAAACAAGTTCTTGAGCAATGAATCCAATTTGCCACTGCTTTGGTGTCTAGTTTTATCACAATTAGTTGCTGTAGATCTTCCGGGTTGTGTGGCCGTGGTCTTGGCATTGTAGAACCTGACGTTTCGGCAGTAGCTGTGACTGGCATCCTCAGAGGTATCACACAGAAAGATGGGTAA